GGTCCCTGGAGTTGTTAAGTGTCATTGCCAGAACCACTAACAAGGTTCTACAACTAGGTTAGTAGCTGACTTCTGTGTTTCGTTCAAACGGTAGTTTAAGACAAACCAAAGGTTACAAAACTATGACTACGTTCGTGTAGTAGGGCATTAAGCAAGCAGCATTTCTATTTGGCTCCTCCTTGGTGCCAGTCCCGTTGGCGAGACTGGATGAATAGACTTGCGGAAACGCCTCCTGTTTGCTGATCATGACCCCTGACACTAGACTACTCCTCCCCTTAAGCCCCAGAAACTATAGTTTGCTATTAGCTTCTCATTCCTGGTTTCTTTGAAAAAGACTCTTGGTTTGGATGTGATGGTCATAAACCACAGAAGGAACTTTGGTAGTTTGCGTCATCACTCGCAATGGAAAGAGGAGCCAAGAGCCAAGCCAAGACATTGGCCAACGGACTGCAATACACAACTTGATTGCAATTAGGACAGCATTCTTAGCATCCTGAGGGGTCCTTGGTGTTCTCTTAGCTTGGTGGTTTTCTTGCTGGCGTTTCATTATCCAAACTAGGTAACATCATCAGTGCTAGAAGGGAGAGTGGTTTGCGGAGAGGAGGAAGGAGAGAAGGAGAAGGAAGTGGAGGAGCACTGTGGGGTCCTTGGTGCTCTCTGAGCTTGGTGTTTTTCTTGCGGACGTTTCATTACCAAAACTTGGTAACATCATCAGCACTGGTGATGTTACCTAGTTTGGGTCGTGAAACGTTCGCAAGGAAACCACCAAGCTCAGAGAGCACCAAGGACCCCTCATTTCAACCCCGAGCTACAAATAGTCTCCTTTATGGAAGGCCACCTTCCAATATGGCCAGTATATTTTTAGGGATATGATCTCCGGAAGTAACAAAACCCAGATAGGTTTGTCCTCAGACACTCCCTCGTGGCATGGAGTTGTAGGGTGTGCGTCATCACATTTCACCTCAGGCTGCAATCAGCTTCTGCTGGTGCCCAAAGGGGGTGGCTTCCCATTATTGTTTCTTCTAGGAATTCGTTTGTAGGGACAGGGCGTGTTGCCCAATCAGATTAGATAACCATTGTCCAATGTAAAAGTTGACATTGGCGAGAAAAGAAGTCCACCTTTTGTTGAAAACAGGCGTCCTTGTGACTACCTGACTTTCTGGGCAGTGAGGGTGTGGGGATGAAAAGACAGCTATCCAAACAAACATGGGTTCGTGATCAAAGTAAGCATTCACTTTACACTCAGAATAACCTCATGTGAATCCTTTAGCCATTCCAAATCCCGGCAGAGCTCGTTTAAAACCCCGCAGGGCTTCTCTCAGCCAAAGAAGTGGACGAACAGTGGATCTAGATTACTTGGCACAGGCAGCCCTCGAGTTACAACTATTCGTTTAGTGACCGTTCCATGTCACAACGGCACTTTAAAGAGTGACTGGTAAGCGTTTTTCACACGTACGACATCCCCAGGGTCACGGGATCAAAATTCAGATGGCAACCGGTTCACATTTACGGCGGTTGCAGTATCCCGGGGTGTGTGTGTGTGTGTGTGTGTGTGTCACGTAATCCCCTTTGGTGAACTTCTGACAAGCCAAGTCAATGGGGAAACCGGCTTCAATTAACCACCGTGTTACTAACAACAACCGCAGCGATTCCCTTAACAACTATGGCAAGAAAAATGGTACAATGGGGGCAAAACAACTGTCTGGCTTAGCAGCAGAAATGCTGGGCCATACCTCAAGGTATGTTATGAATTGTAAAGCGTTGGCAAGGATTTCTCACTTCCTCCTACTAATAAGAGCGATCGAGAACGGTTGAGATGTAGCCCGAACGGGAAAATTGTAAAAATAAAAATAATAAAAATAAAAAAGTAAGAACCGGCCCTCGTTCTTACAGAAAAGGAACACGTAGGCACCTGTAACATGTTTAGTCCAGCCTGTTTGCTGGATTCTGAATCATTTGTCCTCTGCAATGGCAACAGGTTTCCTGGATCTCTATGAAGTGGGGGGAAAAAGAAGAGAAAATTAATACAGACTTCTGTGTTGTTGTTTTTTTTAAACATCATACGTTTTTCATTCCCTCCTTTGGTTTATATCCTGCTGTCACTAATGCAGGCAGCCTGAGCTATAGACGTATTCTAAAGGGGCGAACTAGATCTGACTTCAAGGACGTGCATTGAATGAGCACGTTCTTGAACATGCAAGTGGGTAATCTCGAAGCGCTTATCATGATTTGATCCTCCCTCTCTCTCCTTTTCTTTGAAACCCTGGCTTTTTCCTACTATTTTTTTGGGTGATGGCTGCAGCCCAGATATCTTTGGCAGCTGGCCTTCTGGAAGCCACCATTTATCATCATCTGTTTATCCTGCATTGGGGGGGGAGGGGGGAGAATAAACGCAAAGCAGTGAACATGTTTAATACTCCTGCCATCTATTTTCCAAACAACAACTCTTAATAATAATAATAGTAAAGTTGGAAGGGACCTTGGAGGTCATCAAGTCCAACCCCCTGCTCAGGCAGGAAACCCTATACCATTTCGGACAAATGGCTGTCCAGTCTCTTCTTAAAAACTTCCAGTGTTGGAGCATTCACCGCTTCTGGAGGCAGGTTGTTCCACTGGTTAATTGTTCTAACTGTCAGGAAGTTTCTCCTTAGTTCTAGGTTGCTTCTCTCCTTGATGAGTTTCCATCCGTTGCTTCTCGTCCTGCCTTCAGGCGCTTTGGAGAATAGCTTGACTCCCTCTTCTTTGGGGCAGCCCCTGAGATACTGGAAGACTGCTATCATGTCCCCCCTCGTCCTTCTCTTCATTAAACTAGACATCCCCAATTCCAGCAGCCGTTCCTTATATGCTTTAGCCTCCAGTCCCCTAATCATCTTTGTTGCTCTTCTCTGTACTCTTTCTAGAGTCTCAGCATCACAGTGACCAAAACTGGGTGCAGTATTCCAAGTGTGGCCTTACCAAGATTGTTTTGGGGTGAGAAAGAGGGACTGGCCCAAAGTCATCCAGCTGGCTTGTCTAAGGCAGGACTACAAGCCAGGGTGTCCTGATTTTTAGTCTGGTGCCTTTAAGCATTATACCCAGCGGGTTTTCCAACAGAAGGCGGCTTGCCCTTACTTTCTTCTTCCTAGGCTGAGAGAGACAAAGACACTGGCCCAAAGTCACCCAGCTAGCTTTTATACCTACGGTAGGCCTAGAAGTCACAGGCACCTGGTTCCTAGGCCAGCACCTTACTCTGAAGTGGAATAAATGCGACGCCAGCCATTACTCCAAAATGGCTCTCATTAGTGTTCTGGTTGTCCCTTCTCTGTTACAAATCAGTAATGAAGCACAAGCCACGAACTTGCAGAGCAACCTGTTCAGTTTTTGGGTACCTCTAAACGCTTAGGTCAAAAACCCCTTTGTTATGACCGGACCGATTGGCCTCCAACGTGACGGGTGATCTACCTTGCTGATTTACCTGCCTCTCTGCTTCTTCCTGGAGATTCTGCTTCCACTTCAGAATAGGGTGGGGGGAGCTCTGGGGGGCCAGGGTAAGGGGGAGGCCACAGTGGTAACATGTTGAGAGAACCTGCAGGGTTAAAAAAAATCATCGTATCAATAGAATAGAATAGAATAGAATAGAATAGAATAGAATAGAATAGAATAGAATAGAATAGAATAGAATAGAATGTAGAGTAAGAATAGAATAGAATAGAATAGAATAGAACAAAATAGAATGTAGAGTAAGAATAGAATAGAATAGAATAGAATGTAGAGTAAGAATAGAATAGAATTAGAATAGAATGTAGAGTAAGAATAGAATAGAATTAGAATAGAATAGAATAGAATAGAATGTAGAGTAAGAATAGAATAGAATAGAATGTAGAGTAAGAATAGAATAGAATTAGAATAGAATAGAATAGAATACAATAGAATACAATAGAATACAATAGAATGTAGAGTAAGAATAGAATAGAATAGAATAGAATGTAGAGTAAGAATAGAATAGAATAGAATAGAATAGAATAGAATAGAATAGAATAGAGGAACGGAACGGAACGGAATAGTTTTATTATCAGTTTAAATATACACTAATCAGCATACATTAAAATGAAATTTCATTGCATTCAGCTCTCAAAGAGTAACCACCTGTGATATACACTACATAATCATGACAAAAGGTTATGCATATACCCTCACACACACACACACACACACACACACACACACACACATGTAGACTCTCTGTAGAACAGCGACTTAACTGGCTAGGGCAGTGTCTTTTTTAAACTTTTCTAGCCCGGAGCCTTCCAGATGTTGAGGATGCAACTTACAAAATAAGAACTTTGCAAGCTTTAATATCAGGCCTTTGAGATCTGCAGAGAACCCACATGGCTTTCTCACTGAACTGTCACTCTCCCCGAGCGGCAGACCGAAGTGGATATTGACTTAGCCTCTTAAGCCCGGTCTCAGATGCCTCAGACGGCAGATAACCATCCTACAGAGATACCTGTGAGCCACAGCCTATCTCCATATCTTTCTCAGCCGGCTGCCCTTAGGACTGGGGACAACACTCTCCTTCAGCAGAGGGAACTGGGAGCGAACAGTCAGTCTGCGTGGTGTGAAATGGAGGGAGGTGCTCTCTATTTCCTCCCTCCCTGCCGCCACCACTGCACGGAGAGAAGAACCACGCTCCTTAGACACAAGGCTGACTGGGTTAGGGGTCCCTGCACCTAAAAAGAAATGCTTCTTGTTGAGAATTGATTTCTTTTTTTCTTTTTGCAAAGAAAAGCTGACTGTCATGGTTTTTGCAAAGAAAAGCTGACTGTCATGGTTCCGACAGATGAAACTCTTCGAAGAACTTCGAGGCACTGTTTACCTTAAAGCATCTTTATTTGAGTAGCATAGCGTCGGCACTAACACAGTCGAAGCCAAAAACCGAACTCCCCTCCCCTGAGCACGTAGTATCAAAGCACAATTCCCTCCTCCAGTTGACAGTCATAAATCACATTCCTCAATTAGTTTGAAATGCGGGGCTTCCCCTGCAGCTCTCCAGCCCAATTCTTTATCATCTCTTATTTCAATAACCTTGGTTCTCACACTAGGTTCAATGTTGTTATGTCTAGCTAGACTCTCATGCACATTCTTCCCCCCACCCCGAGCATCATCTAACTCTAAAAGCAAAAAGAAGAAAACGGTTGCATCTCCATCTGTTGTCAGTGCAAAAAACATCCGATGTTAGCAGCGTTGACACTGACATCAGTAGAAAGCTTTCAGGAGCCATAGCTTGGTGGAAGGAACACAAGCTTTGCGCGCAAGAGAATCTTGCATAGGTAAGGGTGAAAAAAAGGACATCAGCCAGAAATCCTGGAGAATCACTGCCAGTCTACAATTCAGCCCCAAATTTCCATTGCCAAATAAGGCAGTTAAGTGAGTCACCTCCCCCTTGTTACGACCTTCTTGCTACAATTGTTAAGTGAATCCCTGCAGTTGTTAAGCGAGTCCAACTATCCCCCCATTGACTTTGCTTGTCGGAAAGCAAAGCTGGGAAGGTGACAAAGGACGATCCCATGACCCCGGGAAAGTGCAACCATCATAAGTACACGCCAGTTGCCAAACGCCCAAACTTGTTCACGTGACCATCGGGATGCTGCAACGGCCGTTAAGTGGGGAAACTGGTTCATAAGTCCCTTTTTTTCAGTGCTGCTGTAACTTTACAAAGTTGCAACTGGCTGTTAAGTCGAGGACTGCCTGTAATTTCAACCAGACTGGGCAAAACAGAAGGAAACCCACTTTGTACGTTCCTTTCATTGCGATAAGGATGCTAAACTTTTCTGCCGTCAGGGAAGAGGCTGGCTTCGTTAAGCGTTTTGTCTGGGGAGAAGAACAAACAAGTAGCATTTGGTAACACAAATCACGCACGCCGGTACTCACGGGTTGTCTGTGGCGCCGCAGGGTGGGCGTAAGTATAGATGGAGGCGGTGGGGTATTCTTGGAGATTGGTCGCCTCTTTCAAAATATCTGTTGTGTTAAGGAAAAAGGTAAAGGTTGCGTAATCACTGAGATTCAATGCATAGGCCAGGGGTCCTCAAACGTGGCCCCTTTTAAGACTGGTGGACTTCAACTCCCAGAATTCCTCAGCCAGCATGCCTGGCTGAGGAATTCTGGGAGCTGAAGTCCACCAGTCATAAAAGGGCCAAGTTTGAACACCCCTGATCTATCAGTTCATCTGCCTCATTTTTATCCTATCTTTTTCCAAAGGAATAACATCAATGTAGTTATGGTAAGCAGCATGCTCTCTGTTCACCACATCATCTGGCAAATGTTACGGCTTTATGAATATTTGAACCAGGCTTTCCTGAATCCTAGTCTAACGTGCTGAATCCTAGTCTAACAGGGGCATTAATTAATTGTGGCACTATTGCACTCTCTTTTGGTGGCTTTGTGGAACCTTCCACAACCTCGTTCTTTCCAGTTTTGTTGGACTGTATCTCCCACGTGGCTATCACGTTGGACAAAGCTGGGTGGATAATAATTCGTAAAGTAAGGTGCTCTCTGCAGAAATGTAAAAAAATAAAAATAAAATAAACTAAACTTGCTGCCCTTCAACTGTTTGTGCATTTTGAATCAGGAGGCCCCTCTCTTTCTTGCCGGAGAGAGAGCAAAAGAGAAAGAATAAATCTTAGATAACTGTTCGGGGGGAAAAACAACTTACCTGAATCTACTAGATCTTTGATCATGTTTAGGCAATCCGAAGCTCCATACTGGAAAGTGAATTTGAAAACAAGAAGTCCCTGGGTGGAAGCTGAGAAGAAAAGTCTATGCTGAGATCTTAAGTCAAGGCTGAGGCATCACTACAGAAGACATAATCTAGGTCTCTTCCTGCCCTGTCTGCCTCCCTCTCCTGCAAAGCTATGAAAGTTCCACTTGGGCCTTTCCAGATGTGTTCAAGAGACAACGATGAGGCAGTCCTCGACTTACGACAATTGGAACCAGATTTTCCATTGCTAAGTAAGACAGTTGTTAAGTGGCTTGCGGCCAATTTTACCTTTTTCTGCCACGGTTGTTAAGCCAATCACTGCAGCTGTTAAATGAATCACGCGGCGGTTAAGCGAATCTTGGCATAGGTTACAAATAGTGATCCAGGGGTGGGCAACCTTGGCTCTTTTATGACTCGTGGACTTCAACTCCCAGAATTCCTGAGCCAGCATGGGGGAACTATGGCCCCCTCATGACTTGTGGACTTCAACTCCCAGAATTCCTCAGCCAGCATGGCTCAGCTTGGAAACCTCTCCCTTTCCCCTCAGCATGGCTGGTTCAGGAATTCTGGGAGTTGAAGTCCACGAGTCATAAAAGAGCCAAGGTTCACCCACCCCTGTCATAAACCCAGGATGTTACAATGCACACCAGTTGCCAAACACCTGGATTTTGATCACCTGACCATGGGGAGGTTGCAATGGTCGTAATTTGGAGGACTGACTGTGCCTTTTTTCGGTGCTGTCGTAACGGCGGCTGGTCGCTAAACGAATGGTTGCAAATGGAGGACTACCGGTCTTCCAAGTTTTCAAGGTCAAGTTCGAGTAAGACTGAGCTAGAGGAAGCCTTATTTTGTTTCAGTCTAACCCAGCCAACCTGCCAGGCTGAGAACGCTGAGTTGAAAAAATACAATTAAAGAAAAAGGAAATCAAAAGATGGGCAAAACTACCGATCTATATCAAATATATTTACCTCTCGATGGATATTTTGGGTAGATAATATCTACCTGCACAGGTGTGGGGTCTTCAAGGTCTCTCTCTCTCTCCCAACCTTTTCCCACCTGCCTGTTCTTTCTCCTTCACACAACAAATAGCCAGCCTGCAGCGTGAACTTGTCTGTCTCCTGATTTTGGAGAGCTTAATAATAATAATAATGATAAGGTTGGAAGGGACCTTGGAGGTCATCTAGTCCAACCCCCTGCTCAGGCAGGAAACCCTATACCATTTTGGACAAATGGCTGTCCAGTTTCTTCTTAAAAAGTTCCAGTGTTGGAGCATTCACCGCTTCTGGAGGCAGGTTGTTCCACTGGTTAATTGCTCTCACTGTCAGGAAGTTTCTCCTTAGTTCTAGGTTGCTTCTCTCCTTGCTTAGTTTCCATCCGTTGCTTCTTGTCCTGCCTTCCGGTGCTTTGGAGAATAGCTTGACTCCCTCTTCTTTGGGGCAGCCCCTGAGATATTGGAACACGGCTATCATGTCCCCCCTCGTCCTTCTCTTCGTTAGACTAGACATACCCAATTCCAGCCACCGTTCCTTATGTGTTTTAGCCTCCAGTCCCCTGATCATCTTTGTTGCTCTTCTCTGTACTCTTTCTAGAGCCTCAACATCTTTTTTACATCATGGTGACCAAAACTGGATGCCGTATTCCAAGTAGGATTTCCCCAAGTTTGCTATTACTTTCCTCTGCTAACTCACTCATCCTGGTTATCAAGGGACTGGGTGACAAATAAAGGGAATTGTCATCCTAGTGAGCCCAGGATATTGTTTTTCTGTCCCAATGGGGGTATATTTTCCTGTCCCAATCCCTGACCATTTCCACCAACTGGCTGGCTTATCAGAGAGAGAAGAGACCTCCAGAGAGAACTAGACATTTAGCTGAAAAGACGGATAAACAGATGAACCAATTATGGAACCTACTCAGAGTTCCTTGGATGTGTTGAGGTTTGGAGTTGGGCTCTTCCTCCAGAAAGCAATCTCCCAACAGCTGCAGAGGAAAACGAATGATGGTCGACCCCTTATCTTTATGCTGGAATATTATCTAGGAAAGCAATTCAGATAACCTTTATTGTCATTTTTTTCCCCTGTGGGCACAACAGCACGCATTAAAAATGAAATTCGGTTGCTTGCTCTCAACTGTACACACACACACAACACACATTTAAAACATGCTATATACAATATATGTATAGACCTAGACCCTTACATATAAGTAACATATAAATATTAATCATTGTCCATCTTGAGAAATCAGGATAATTTCACGAGAGTTAGCCTGGGAAGCAAATGCCTACAAATGATACATTTCGGTTTGGAGAAGATGGATAGATTATATTCAGAATAAATATGGGACTAAAAAGTTCCATTTAGCTTATGAGTAAATTTTAGAGTATTATTAGTATTAGTAGTTTATTATAGTGAAATTTTTATTAGTTTTAATTATATGATATTATTATTACTTTTAGTATTAGTATTGTTTAACAATATGGATATTTTATTGTTTAATAATTAGGATACTAATTTCTTTATGTTTTTATTATTATTATTATGTTTATGTTAAAGGGGAGTTAAAGCACATTATGGACTTGGTTATTTATATAGTTGGTTAATGTTAGTTAGATTATGATTATTATATTTGTAACCCTGTATTCAGCTCTGGGAAGTGGGGGAGGGAGAGGGGGGGGTTAGGGTGGGTTGGCTTTGGAATTTATATTGTAACTTTTATAAAACTTTTCAATTAAAAAAAAATATGTACCCACTCCAAAGCTTATCTTAAGGAAAGTACAGGTAGACTTTGACTTTCCCAGCAGGCTTCTGACAAGCAAAGATTTAGCCAGATTTGCTTAATGACCGCCTAATTCACTTAACAACTACAATGGGCTCAACGGTGGTTGTAAGTTGAGACGTGTAAAATACGTCTAATGTCCTTTTCAATACAAGGTGGACTGCTTACAAGTCAACAACAACAACAACAACAACAACAACAACAATAACAATAATAATAATAATAATAATAATAAAGTTTGGAGGTCTTCTAATCCAACCCCCTGCTCAGGCAGGAAACCTTATACCATTTCAGATAGTTGATGGAGGAAATCACTAACCTATAAGGAGACTTATTCAAACGCTCTCTCAAGACTAATAATGGTCCTGGTCAAATTCACCCACCAGAAATGAAAGATTTCTCTTATCAAAGAGAAACTGCTGCCTTCTTCGGCCATCTTAATAATAATAATAAAGTTGGAAGGGACCTTGGAGGTCTTCTAGTCCAACCCCCTGCTCAGGCAGGAAACCCTAGACCATTTCAGACAAATGGCTGTCCAGTCTCTTCTTAAAAACCTCCAGTGTTGGAGCATTCACAACTTCTGGAGGCAGGTTGTTCCACTGGTTAATTGTTCTAACTGTCAGGAAGTTTCTCCTTAGTTCTAGGTTGCTTCTCTCTTTGGTTAGTTTCCACCCGTTGCTTCTTGTCCTGCCTTCTGGTGCTTTGGAGAATAGCTTGACTCCCTCTTCTTTGGGGCAGCCCCCGAGATATTGGAACACTGCTATCATGTCCCCCCTGGTCCTTCTCTTCATTAAACTAGACATACCCAATTCCAGCAACCGTTCCTTATATGCTTTAGCCTCTAAGCCAAAAGCTCTTACTTTGTATTGAGTGAGGTACAGCATCCCCTTCTTGGCTC